GAAGCAAAAGGTGGGTGTGGCTGGATGACCACACTTCTGGCAACACGGGGCTGCGACCTAGTATGCTAATGAGCTGTGGTGTCAGGGTGTGGCCTAATATGCTAATGAGTTCCTGCTGTTGGGTATGCCTATTATGCTAATTAGTTCCTGCTGGGCTTTTTCTACAAAAAAAGCCCTGCATTGGCATAAAATATTAGAGAAGGCCAGATATTATGACACATATTCATGCCTTATGTATTTTTGCATGTAGATCATATTTCTGGATGTGGCATTGGGTGCAGGGGGGGGAAAGCCACCTGTAATCTGTGGGGTGGGGATCCTTTGTGTACACACTGTTCCTCCATGCCAGAAGTTAGGTCTCAGATGTCAAGTCTTTACCACCCATTGAAAACACTGGAAGTAGATGTGACCCCTGAAGGCTGGATGTCAGGCCTCTGCAGTCTGGTCACCTGGTCTATTGCCCCAATGTAAACAGCTGAAAAAACCCGGAAATTTCATGAGATAAATTTGGGGGATTTATGATTTCAGGAGTGCCTTGCTTTATACTGAGTATTTTGGCTCTGAAACGAAACAATGCATTTCAGGCATTTTTCAGATTGGAAATATCTGAATGCACACTCCTATAAACAATGTCTTGCACACACTAAGAGAACCCATCAAACTTTCCTCCTACTTTTTGCAGAGACATGGAAGAAGTCTGTTCCTTGTAGAGGTGAAACAGATTAATGTTTCAAACCATGGTGCAGCCTTAAACTGTCTCTGCTGGGTTGAGGGCATGTTGGTTGAGATTTTTTGTTTTTAAACAAAACCACATTTCAGAGTTAGTAATATGATTTTCCTCATAAATTCCTAAGACAATGCAAAGTTACTTTTATGACTTCCTTTTTTCTGAAAAACAAACAAACCCTATATCCTCTAGTTTCAGGATGTAATTCAGCAGAGTTTCATTGTACAGATGGAACATGTATCGCAAAATCAGCACAATGCAATCAGATCATTGATTGTTTGGATAGTTCGGATGAGAAGAACTGCAGTAAGGAATTCTATTTTCTGTTACCAATATTTGATGATAAATTAATTTGGGTAATATAATTTACTTGATAAAAAGCAACATTGTGATTGCAGATGTTAAGTAATCTCTACCAAGTAAAAAGCAGCAATAAAGTACAAATAAAAAGTATGTATTATGATGTTCATTCAAGTTTTTGTTCAACAGATAACACAGACTGCACTCACTTCTATAAGCTTGGAGTAAAATCTTCAGGATTTATTAGCTGTAATTCTACTTCACTTTGTATACTACCAGAATGGCTGTGTGATGGATCTAATGACTGTGGGGATTATACAGATGAATTAAAATGCCCAGGTAATTGGGAAAAGAACAGTAATTTAAATATTTCTTCATGGTAACAAATTAAACAAAAGGCTTATTAGTCTAATTTATTTATTTAATGTATACATTGATGGTTAAAATATGTTGTTGTTTTTAAATTCCACAGTTCGAAGTAAACATACGTGTGAACACAACTATTTTGGTTGTCGTAGTGGGAGATGCATTCTGAGCACTTGGGTATGTGATGGTCAGAAAGATTGTGAAGATGGAGATGATGAATTACACTGTGGTGAGTAACTCTTTCTAAACCATGGATATTTATGCAAAATAATGGTGAATTACAATCTTTTCAAACAATAGTATTCAAACAATAGAATTCAAAGTATTAAGCTAAAGTTTCATCAGAATATTAATAACAACTTGGGCTGTTATTTGTCTTTATGGTGGTCCACAGCATCCAAAACAGTTGTGCTATTATAAACCTGTTAAAATTGAAATAAATATCACAGTTTTTAAAACATATGATTAAGAACTGAAATTAATTATATTGGGTATGATCCAGTGGCTGATTTCCACTAATTTCTCTTTCAACAGCCTGCCTTCAGTATTGCAAAAAGTTCACCAGAGAAAATAGATTTTACAGAAAAAGCTCACTGACCATTCACCAGTGGAAGACCCCACTGTGATAAAGAATAATTGGATTCAACCTTTTCTAAAAATTTCAATGTTGAAAAAAGTTTTGCCTGTTACAATTTCTATGTGCTTTGTTCTTACCAATGTTTGGATGTTTACCAGTACATTAATTATTTATTGGATTAAATCAGCTTAATTAGCATTTTATAGGAAGTGTCTGAACAGCTTCACTCTAAAGAGCAATCCATTTTTCTAAAGAGATAGATTCATAATAAAAGTAAAGTTGCGTTTTCATAACATTTTTTTTAAAAATTTCCAGCAAAATTGGGATCTTGCATTTGGGGGAGGAATCTATCATTTTTTGGTTTTCCTTTAGTTTAGTGCCTTTAATACATATTATAAGGTAAAATGTTTTCCTCACTGAATATGCAGTTCCCTCAACTTCTTGAATTTTTGTTGTGGAGGTTACTATTGCTTTTAGTGTCATTTATTCTCTCTTACAAAAGTATGACATTATTTTTAGTATTACTTTGTTATCCTAAAATGACACAAGGTGTTGGGATTATGCACTTTCTATATTAGCTTTAAAGCAAGTATTGGGTTGGCTACTGTGATTCTGTGCTGCTAAAGGAGCCATTTCCTGATGCAGCATGCTCTTGTTTCAGTAGAAGAACCTCTTACATCATTGGAAGGCTCCTTGTACCAGACAAAAGTTTTGCTCATAGTGAAATAGAACTGTGGACTCTGACCTATTGTATTGTTTCATTTGCCTAGTTGATTGTGGCTCCTTTCTCCACCCACCCAGAGTTTTGTGCCATGTTGTATGATGTGTTTACTAGCAGAAAAACAGTTCTTACTATTTTTATATGGTAGGGATGCAGTAAAATCACATTACCTTTTACAATCAATCTAATTAAACTTAAATGCCTGAAGAAACTGGGCAAAAATTCACTGGAGCCATTTGAATTTTGGGAGGGAAATTTAGCTGGCTAATAGGTATATATCAGAGGGTTATGCTCATCTGGTGTTCCTGTGGAACAATATTATCTCATACATAGGCAACACTTATGGTTTACATTTCCTTCTAGGTTCCTCTTGTTCATGGGATCAGTTTGCTTGTTCTGCACACAAGTGTATCTCTAAACAGTGGAGTTGTGATGGGGAGGATGATTGTGGGAATGGCTTGGATGAAAGTAAAGCTGTTTGTGGTGAGTATTATGATCCAATATGATTAATTTAATTTTGTATTGTAGGGAATAATATGGAATATATAAATGTATGTCAGCTACAGTAAAGAAATATTTTGTTAATGAAACAAGTCTTTTGGCTGATGTTTATACAGATGTACATTTGTCGATTAAGGCTTTCAACTCTCTTTATAGCATATAGATTAATGAAGACATTGTCAGCCCCAAGAGATACCTTAATGCAATTTACAATATATGTCCAAAACGTTTTGCATACTGTTTGAATAACATACATGATGACAGATAAAGGCAGCATTTCCCCTTTGGGTATTAGAGGATATTTTATTTTGAGAGCATGTAATCTTTTGGAAGGTAGAGAAGATCCTTCAAGTCACCTCTTGTAGAGAGAGACCAGATGCCTAGGGCATATTTTCTCTTCCATATTTGTAAAGGAAGGGGATAAGCCTGTAGTTCTGATCATTGCTACTTACCTTGCAGAAGAGACTGGCAAACCGTACTGTGCTCCAAATTTCAGTGTATTGCAAATTCTAGTTTAATTGGCCATATTATTTAATGACCTAATTTGGTTTTCTCTCTATTTCTGCTTATTCACACAAGACTTATGTTATGAGAGGTATGTTCTCCAAGTTTCCCTTCCTCCAGCAGCCTCTTTTGACCCTAGTAACATTGCATCCATATTTAAAGAATAGCTGAAATAGCTGTGATGCTGAACATTCGTAACACTGTATGTTCAGTCAAGGAGCTGCGGTGGCTCAAGTGGTTAAGACACTGAACTATAGGCTGTGGAAGGTCAGTAGTTCAGCAGTTTGAGACCCAAGTTGCCACATGACGGAGTGAGCTCCTGTCTCTAGTTCCAGCTACTGCCAACCTAGCAGTTCAAAAGCAAGAAATTGCAAGTAGATAAATAGGTACCACTTTGGTGGAAAGGTAACAGCGTTTTGTGCGCCTTGGTGTTTAGTCATGCCGGCCACATGACCACAGAAATGTCTTCGGACAGTGCTGGCTCTTCGGCTTTGAAACGGAGATGAGCACCGCAACCCTACAGTCAGATTCGACTGGCTTTCGAGCAAGGGGACCTTTACCTTTACCTTTATGTTCAGTTATAGACTTGTTTTATTTTAAATATATATTTTTCCTAATGACCTATGTTGTATTACCATGTTTCTCTATGGACTTTTGGACTTTTGATTTATCTGTTTATGTTTTTGGCATGATGTGCTGTGCACTACTACAACTTGGATAGTAAGTAAAAACAGAAAACATCCATAGTATTAAATTAAATGGATTTTCATTAACTATGCACTTAATGAGAAACACCAATCTAAAATTAACTCATTATTCAGATCAAGGTTTATTGAATAAACATTAACATAGTTGATAAGGGGGGCATTTGTTTGATGTTACCCATAAGGAGTGTGATAAGCCAAAATGTTTCATGTAGAATAGAAATAAGAATTTACAATAAGATCAGAACATTGTTTGAAATTAGCTATACAATATTGTATAGACAATTGGTCTTCAGAAAGTAGATTATGCCCATAGTTTAGTTATGTTATGTATGGAGGGTTGGGTGCTTTAAGCAAAAAGACAATATAACTTTGTGGGGAAAGGTGGCATAAATAAACTTCAATCAGGGAACCAGCAGGTTTTTCTCAAAGGGTCTGAAAGTGAGAATGCTATCGTATTGCTTTCCTTCCATAGAATACGGTACTAAGTCAACTCTGTGTCCAGAAGCTAAAATTTACCAAATCAAACCAGGATCAACTTCACTGTTAAAAATAGACTATAAAAATAGACTTAAAGTTAGCTTTTCCATTTCTGCACAAAACTATACTTCTATCAGGATTCCCCCCCCCGTTCTGTTAACTACCCTCAACTGTCTCCCTCTTTTTCTGTATGCATTTAATCCCAAAGTAATATTTGAATTTTTGTTGCCTTCTTTCCATGGATTTCCAATGCCTTTTTGAAACTGATCACATAAGAAAAAATAAATATCCCGGCAAAAACTTTTCTAATAAATTTAATTAAATAGTAGCATACAACCAACACTTTCTGTCCCCCCCCCCAGTTTTAAAAAGATTGGACCGGGGTCCAATTCTATGGGCCCCCAAAGAAGCACCCCTATCCTCCATTGCTTTCAATGGAGGGGGAAGACTTATTTAAAGAAGCCGCAGTGCGGCCCCACAAGCCCTGTTGAAAGGGACCACAGGGTTTGCAGAAAGCCCAAAAAACAGGCTTGTCCCCACTGCTCAGATGTTTTTTAGGCTGTCTTCTGCAGTTCCTTTAAAGATTAAAAGATCTGGACACTGTCAGAAATGCTTAAAGCAGGACTAGAGACTGGTGTGTGTGTGTAATGGTATTTGCCTTAGCAAGCCTATATTTCCAGTGTTCCAGCAAGCCTGTGCCAATCCCAAGGGGATGCCAAGTTAACATAAGTGCCTCTGAAGCTTAGATTAGCCTCATTTAAAAAACAACAACTACAACCCCTTTTCTTAGTTCTGTAATAACCCTTTCGGAGATGAGCACTGGAACCCTAGAGTCGGATTCGACTGGCTTTCAAGCAAGGGAACCTTTACCTTTTTTACTATGTTATTCTTTTCTATATTCTTGTTATCTACAGTTTAAAGTTATGTTATACTAAATAAAAAGCCTTGTCTTTTAAGAGATCAGAATGTGTTAAAAAAGTTACACCTCTGTGCCAGGTCTCTTTTTCTATGTATAGGCCAGAACCTCCTGGCTGAGCAAGGTTGGATAGAGAAAAGGAGAAAGTGGGGTGGGAGCTGGAAGTGCACACATTCCACAGACATGCATGGAGTCCTAATCCTCCAGTACACAACGGAAAAGGCAGGGCTTGGTTGGTAGCAGAACCCCATATAGCAGGTGGGAGAGGGTGGGATAAGCCCTTTCACACAAATACAAGTTCCTTCTCCCTCAGTGTGACAATACAGGGGAGAGGGTAGTACCCCTTGCAAGTCCTTAAGGGTTCCAGACTGTGCAGCTGGGCTCAGTGGTCAACACTGTGCAACTCAGCCATAGTTTTCAGGGATAGAGGCTGCTAGGGGGAGTGAAATAGGAAGAAACTGAAGGCAGGAGGGCAGATAAAGGCAGATTGGCTGGCTAGGTGGGAAGAAAAGAAGGGGAAAACGAGGAGAGACTAAGAAGGCTTTCAGGGAAGGGAACGTGGACATAGCAGGAAAAGTGAAAATGAGATACCTCCTGCAAGTCCTTGTGGGTTACCCTTGTGTAACATGTCTGTGAAGCTATTTAGAAAATAACTACATTTAATTATATTTTAACAGGGTCAGTAACCTGTGCCCCAGACATGTTCAGCTGCTTAGATTCCTATGCCTGTGTTCCTCAGCACTGGCTGTGTGATGGTGAAAGAGACTGCCCTAATGGGAATGATGAGCTTTCTACAGCAGGATGCGGTATGAACCATTTTGCAACATACACCTACACACTAATACATTGCTCTTAACAAGTTCAAGATGTTGTAACCTAGAACTGAACAAGCTAGGGCAAATCAATGAATATGCATAAATAGTTAAATGTCTGGTCTTCACAATATTGCATTCAAGTACAAATCAAAGTATTTTGATTTTAAAGACCTACAATGTTAAGTAATGAGGATTGTTTTAATTATTGAGATAGGGACAGCTGCCATATGAAGACCATCTTCATTTGGCATAATTTCCCATAGCAACAGTTTCCAAACAGCAATCTGTTTATGTGCATTAATTCATCATGTGCATTAGTTCATCATGTGCATTAGATTACTTTTGTCACAGAATTGCAGGTTTTAGTTGTAAGATTCTATACAGGGCTTTTTTGGCCCTGACCCCCACCTGGTGGAACTATCTGCTGGAAAATACCCTTGCCCTGTGGGATTTACCACCTTCCCTGGCAGAGGTGTTTGGCCAGGGGTTTGGTTGAGGACAGTGATGGGGACAGTATAAAATCTGGCACTCTCTCACACACCCTCTCCAAAGCCCTCCCCCACTAAGCGGCCTGTGGAAATTAAAATCTCTCTTCTGCCATCTTGGAAAGTGTATTGTTTTATTTATTTGTTTGTTTGTTTGTTTGTTTATTTATCATTCAATTTATATCCCACTTGAACCCCGAAGGGTCTCTGAGCGGCTTACACACAATCATTGGTTCCTAACTAAGGCCACAATTATAGGGGGGGGTGACTTCCTACCAGCACCCGGCAGCAGGGCTTGTTGTTGGAGTCTGGCTTCTTCCGGCAGCCTCGGATGTCGGCACTCCACTTCCAATGTCCTGGGGCAGATTTGCTGATATTTGCTGATAGGTTACAGGTATTTTAACCTTGGTTTTACCTTGAATTATTTATGCTCTGTTGTAAGCTGCCCTGAGCCCTGCTTGCAAGGAAAGGCGGCCTAATAAATCTAATCTAATTTAATAAAAATAAAATAATAAATAAATACAGTACGTTCCTAAACAGGTATCTGATGAAGGGAGCATTGACTCTAGAAGTTTTTACTCTGTTTAGAATCACACCATTTACTACTTGAAGAAAACCCATCATTAGGGATGTGTGCATGCACATGAAATGCTGCATATCAATGGCCACTACAAAATATGGAAAAAAAAACCCACTGGCAATATGAGCCAGTACTGTATTTACACCATCCCTGCTAGAATCGTATAGTAATTATTTGTCGCAGCTTATGTCTATCATTTGCTCACACCATCATTGTACAGACTTAGAAGATATGGACACCCTTTTCAGTTTCGGGTGGTTTATGGGTTTTTTTAAAAAAGGGCTGTGTTGTCTTTTTGATACTTTCCCCAAAACGCAAATATTTTTTAATGCTAGAACTGTTTGCTTTGTGTCTGCTTTTTAGATGTCTGCTTCTTTGTTGTTGGTTCTTCTTTAATCAGTAAAAACTATGTCAACAGATTATTTAAATTTTCATGCTTTTTAAGGCTTTGATCCTTGTAGCATGCTAGAAGAAGGAAGGATGTTGCTTCTGTCATACAGATAGTGTCTCCTCACACTGAATGTATGTTTCCATGTATTTTTCCTTTTAAAAACAAAACAAAAAACCAACCTAATTAGTAGCATCCAATTTTGCTAAATATCTTGTGCTTCCTTGCTGACAATATCTTGGGTGAACTTTATTTCTCAAGCAAAGACCAAAGGATTACAATGGCTCAAGATGACCTAACCTAGAGTTAGCAGTCAAAAGCTGCTGTTGTAGGCTCTGTTGTGTTTCTTTTCCACCAAGAAATCTGCATTATAGGATAAAATTCAGCAAACACAGTTGGATATTTTATATTTCAAAAGATATGTTTATTGCAATACATGTATATTTAATTAATGGAATCGTTCATTGGCATTAAAGTGGTACAGTAAGAGAGACACTTTGGCTTCTGACATTCTCAGGGAGAAATATTGGTGTGTAAACAATTCTAAAATACAATCCATTAAATGCAGCCAACATTTGCTTTTAAAAAGACATGTGTAAGAATATTGCATGAATTAGGCAACTGGGGAAAAATTAATTCTGTTTAATGCAGTCCAATCCTTATGTCCCCTGTGATGTGGGGATAAGTGAGAGCAGCTACTGCATACAACCCTCATATAAGAAGTGGACCAAATGCTGTGTACAGCATAACTCTCTCATCCCAGTGAAAGAAGGGCTAAGGCTAAATATTGAAGCCCAGGGATCCCCCTTTGACCTTTTCACTGGATCACAGCACCTCCAATGCCTGGTATTACAAATCCAAATTAATCCAAGTAAGATTTGTGGACCCAGGGGCACAAAGGGAGAAGGGGTGCAGATTAGGCAGTGAACAACTCAACACCGTGATTTAGATAAAACAGGCCACAACTTTTTTTGACTGCACTGCAGGAGCATTGGTGCTGCATGAGATGGACCCTGAATTGGGCAACTTGCCTGCTGCCTGATGAACCCTGCACACACCCCCGCCCACCTGATGGGTTGCATCCAAGGAGTGGTGTAGCCACTTTCTGGGATCCACAAGGATGCCGGCTGCTACACGGTTCCCTTGCCATGGTGGTGAGAGCCCTGCTGACAGGCCCCAAACTGGGCATGCTGAAGTATTGGTTCCACCCAGATCCCTCATGGGAGGCACCACCTCCCTAGCCAAAGGATCCATCTTAGTGCTCCAACTGCCACAACTCGCCAATGCTCCAATGTCTTTAGCCATCCAAACAACCCATCCCTGATACCGTGTAGTCAGATAACTGAACTCCAATCAGATAAATGCCCCCCATCAGCCCTGTAGAGAGCCAGCTGCCAAAAGGTGATATCTGGGTGGCCAATGACCCCCCCCCCCCCAGATTCCACCACTTGTGGTGTCATCTTGCATGTCTTCCTTCTAGCCTAGTCCACCCGGGCTGGTGAAATGGCCCCATGTCACTTGCGCTGCTCCAGAAGGGAAGACCAAATGATGCATGTGTTGGGAAGCCAGGACTGGAGAGTCTTTAAGTCAACCACCATAGTTCAGGCCAGCACCACCCCCTTCTGTGTCAGAAGACCATTCTCACCCAACTCAATTACCAAGGCATCTGGGA